AAAATATACAACACGTGCGCAAGAATTGCTTTGCTTCCACGAGCCCGATCATATGTAATTGTGATTTACTGAACCTATATTATGTCTTAACGTTACTACATTATACTGTAAACTGTTTTGATGTAAGATTGTTAGATTGGTTCTACATGGTCTGACACAACTATGATACAGATATTCCTTGTTGTACTTATTCAATACTGCTTAGTTTAAATGATGATATTGGCATAAACTAACAGTATGGAACGTAATAGAAAACAGAGAAAATATGAACATAATTTAAGAACATACAATGAATGAATTGAACATGGCTTACCTTCAAATAACCAAGAGAAGCATCAATTAGTGGCCAGTCTATATTCGGTGCATTTCATGAGTGAAATACCCCGAATAAAGGCCGTTATATATACCACCGATGCTCTCAGAGTTCGTGATATGGTCGCGCGTTCAATGGTCACTTCTTTAAACAATACTTACAAATGCTGCTAATCTACACTGCTGACTATCTAAATCTTAAGATTACTTGAGAGTGCAGAAATGACCAAAATTATCTAACAGTTTTCTCGGAGAGCGTGTTATCATAGAGTAATGTTTACTTCTCTCTCCGGACATGTCGTCTTAACAGTTAGTACAAAAGGCTTATCAAAAAAAACTTGGGAATGAAGACGAGCGTATATCGATACTGACAGATTATAGACTTGGGCCGGACCATGCATGTAGTCTTAAAGCTTAACACATAATGCTAATTATCTTACAACTTGGAAAATGAAGATCAACACTAACTGAGACAGCGTTTAGTATTCTCGTTATTGAATAAAATATCCAAAATGTGCTGTTTAGTCCTATTTTATAAAGTCACAATTATTAATATAAGATTGAGGAAAATATGACGTATTTTAGAACTATGATAACTGTATAAACATGTATTTGCCCCTGAGACATATTTAAGTTGTATAAATGTGAAACAATTCCGCATTGCTCGTTGCAGCTATCGTCAATTAAATATAGAGACGGGTAGATATATCAATAAGCCAAGGAATCTCAGATTATATCATATGTGTTCAGGTGCTTACATTGAAAATGAACTTCATTTTCTCCTAATATGTTCAGCCTATGATCATCTACGTACATCTTATATTCCTGTGAACTATCATTATCATACATATCCATCATTATGCAAATTTAATACTTTGATGTCTGTAGACAATTCCACTGCGTTACGAAATCTAGCTATGTGTCTATTTTATGCGAATGAGCTGCGTACAAGCCGTTTGTTGGCCGTATGAAGTAATATTGTACTACGGGTCGATGGCATACATACACCAGAATAAAGAGAGATTGAAGTTGAGATTGAAATGATTTCATTCGTTTAGTAAACTACATTATCACGACGACGACATGAATGTTCTTCCATCAACAGAAGAACTTTATATAAATGAAAAACAACAAAATATATATGGATTTATGCATTTTGATTTGTCTGTCGATCAAAACCCAACGGCCATACGCGTTGATTACAGCCCCCCTTTTTCTCTCTGCCTATAAGATGTTATTGTGTCTCATTCAGTGATTCAAGTATTGAGGTGAAAGCGTTGGTTTGTGCACATGCAGAAAACAGAAGGGAAGATTAAAATGGCCATTTTAAATATTTAGATTTTTAGGATCTGTATTTCGTCCTGATTCCACTTTGTTATGACTTTATGTAATACCCTTCGCGTATTCAGGGATAGTGTTTCAAATAATACTATTTACACACTCACATCAAGAATAATGTTATATTAAACATAAAATCCTTTCAGAATTCGTTAAATTTGGCTTTCAATATGTCTCCAAGAATGATAAGATATGAATTGACACATATAGCTTAATAATAGATTCTGAGATGTAATTATAATGTATTTAAATTAAACGTATACTTTGTACATGTTTACAAAAATAATTTATATAGCAATAACAGTTTTGGTAATTCGAAAAAGTATTTATCATTTAATACGGAATCATGATTAGCAACACGCTTGACCGTGGCTAGTAAAAATCCAATCGGGCCAGTAAATCTCCAAGTCACTGGCCCGACTGGCTAGCGAACTTTCATGGGGTCATTTTTTTAATACGTCACTCTCTCCGACTTGTTAAGTTATAATACACTTTTAAATCATGCAAGATTATGGCCTGACAAATGATGGTATTTTAACTTTTTGTAATCTTTTGATCATTTTCTACATCCACATTTGGGGCTAGTGAATTATTTTGTGGGCAATGAATTATTTTGTGTGTAACATTCAGGAGTAGCTAGCCCGGCTGGCAAACTAAATTTGTAAACTATTTCGCACACTGGTTGAGAATGAAACGAAACCAATAGAGTAAAGCGCGACATTATGAAACAACAGAATGTGATGTACAGACGAGGTCAAAATGCCCCTGCAAAAGTTTTCTATATATATACGCAGATAGACCTCGATACATTATGAAATAGCTGCGAGAGGAGAGGGTGAGTTGAGTTTGTTGTCGTTGGTACGGCTCTATTCCTTACCATATTATGCATATCAGGACAGACAGACAGACAGACAGCTGTGAGGTAAATATCATTTCAACAATTTCCTACTTTTGCTGCAACTCAGCTCAATGAGGGGTACAGGTACAATGAAACTGGAACTGAGATTACTAAATACGGATAGTGGCTAAGTAGTAGTAGTAGTAGTAGTAGTAGTAGTAGTAGTAGTAGTAGTAGTAAGGTGAAATGGGATTTAACGTCCTACTTGAGAATATCTCGATCCTACGACGACGTGCATGCGTGTGTACATGTGGCAGCGTGTACTAGCCCAGAATTAAGCTGGTTTTATAGTGCTAGCCCACTGAGATACCATGCCGCAGTGAAGCATGAATACCCCACTCAGACAGATTATACTGACTCCGAGCCGACCAGTCCTTGTTATACCCATTAATCCCGAGCACACGGCAGGGACCAACAAATACCCTATTTTAGCGTCTTTTGGTATGACGCCTTCCGCTCTCTTTCGCTCTACCCACTACACCACGGAGGCGGTTGGTAGTAGTAGTAGTAGTAGTAGTAGTTGTAGTTGTTGTAGTAGTTTTAGTTATAGTTGTAGTAGTTGTAGTTGTAGTTGTAGTTGTAGTTGTAGTAGTTGTAGTGTAGTTGTAGTTGTAGTTGTAGTTGTAGTTGTAGTTGTAGTTGTAGTAGTTGTAGTTGTAGTAGTAGTAGAATGAATATACTAGCTGTACTGTAAGTGATCTATAACAGCTACGAGGGGATGAATCTTGGCCGTGCAACCAGCGTACCCGCGTACCCGACAACACACAGTCATATATAGGTGATCCCGATATAAATACACCAAGCCGCCCATTGCAGTTTTACACTGATAGCTGCATTGTGTCGTGCTATTCAGTATGTGCTATTCAGTGCTATTCATTGAGACTGGTAACGGTGGGTGCTTGTAATGTTTACGGAGAACCTATATGTCAAGGAGAACGAACAGGTCACAGAACACGTACATGTCACGGAGAACCTAAATGTCAACGTGAACTTACATCTGCATATCAAGGAAACCTACACAGAGGGTACGTTTCTGAGTAGACTTTGTCATCAGTTGGTTGGTCAAGCGCTCTTTACGGTGTTGGATGGTTTTGTTGTTCAACACCGCACTAAGCAATATTCCAGCTATATGGCGGCGGTCTGTAAATAATCGAGTCTGGACCAGACAATTCAGTGATCAGCAGCATGAGCATCGATCTACGAAATTGGGACACGATGAGATGTGTCAACCAAGTCAGCGAGCCTGACCACCCAATCCCGTTAGTCGCCTCTTACGACAAGCATGGGTTACTGAAGATCAATTCTAACGCGGATCTTCACGGGTCGCTCTCTATGAAAGGTCTGATCATCAAAGTGGGTTCAAAGTGTTATCACGTTCTCATCGAGATATAATTTCATCCACGCTAATGCTGAGATAATGTTAACATTTAGCTTAAAGTTACTCACTAAGTAAATATCGGCCTGTAGGAAGTCTTGTTTATAACGCGTCCACTCGCGACACCTGTTTCGAATCTTTTCATGGACATGTATGAAACATCATTTTATCCACAGGCTTTAAATCAATGCACTTAAATTATATAACACGCACCTACAAACATCGTATAGACACGTTTTACACAAAAATATACAAATACAATAACACCTCGAACCGGTCCCCGATAATCCGTCCATAATGTATATTTGGAGGTCAATGGACATGACCACAATTCAAACATCACTGTCCCTAAAATAAAATACTGGGAACGTACTGCCCGGATTAACGGATTTCCGGATAATTCACCATGACTGCTGCAGATTAACACAAATCTTACCCATGTTTCTCTCTTCGAAGGCGGACATCTTCGTCTCCACTTCCATACATGTTATCCACCGAGGACTTTACCATTCTCCCTTTCAGCTGACGAACAACGTACATACATACATGATCCCCTGAGAAGGAGAACCTTTGATTGGAAACGGCATCATATATATTGGCCTCCATACTGCCCCTCCTTTCTTCACATACTGGCGCTAAAGCCAACAAGGATTTGCAGGACAACGGTTCCGAGCTGGTGGTCGCGTCTTAGCAGTGCATAATCACGCATTAGCACAATCTCTCCAAACCGTTCATTTCATTTAACCACACAGATGGTTCGGACGGAAATTCAATACATGACTAGAAAATTGATTAGTGAAAGACGCCGTTCCATTTTGCGTTCACGTTAAGTATGGGAAGAATAATGGCGAATTATTTCCGGAATGGGTTTTCATTAAAACAAGTAGGGTTCTCTTCTGACGTGACTTGTTAAATCTCCTTTCTGAGTTTTCGTCCATACTTAAGTGTTTGCCGGATCAGCATTGGCAAATAGCACATGGGGGAGCATGGCAGAGGGATGTGAATGCATAACAGAGACAGCAAGGAAACAGGTAGGTGTCCTCTGCCGTGATCTACAGTTATATGTCATTGTCCTGCAAATTCTAGCTCATTTTTTCTATCCCTCAGCGTTCCTCATCCACCCTATTCTCTTTGCCATCCCTCTTTTGTCTCCCGTTCCCTCTTCGTATCTTCCCCTCCCTCTTTCTCTCCCTTCCTACTCCCAGTCCTCTCTTTTCCTTTCACTTACATCAAATGTCCTTCCCTTTTCTCGTCTCCCCCTCTTCCTTCCTTTGACACCCTTCCCCTTCCCTCTAGATTCCACCCGTTTCCTATACCACATCCCTCTCTTCCGCCGCCATATGGCTGGAATATTGCAGAGTGCGCGTAAAACTAAACTCACTTACTCCCTCTCTTCCATTTTTTCCTTCCTGTCACACCCGACCCTCGGGTCTACATCCCCTCCATTTCATTTATCCCTTCCATCTTTCTTTCATTTTTTCCTTCCTTTCACACCGACCCTCATGTCTATCCCCTCTGTTTCCTAAAGCCCTCCCCCTCTCGTCCATTTTCTTCCTTCCTTTAACACATGTACCTCCCATCGCCATTCCATCCGTTTCCTATATATTCTACCTCTCTTTACCATTTTCTTCCTTCTTCCTTCCTTTCACGTTACCATTTCACTTTCCCTCTTTACTCCATCTATTCCCTTGTGAGTTGCCTTGAATTCATTCCGGAGCAACAGATGTATTATTTAACGGGTAATGAATATCTTTCGATAGGGTGCGGTGGGTTAGGCTAGTGGTTAAAGCTTTCACTCGTCACGCCGAAGACCCGGGTTCGATTCCCCACATGGCTACAACGTGTGAAGCCCATTTCTGGTGTCCCCCGCCGTGATTTTGCTGGAATATTGCTAAAAGCGGCGTAAAACCAAACTCAGTCAGTCACCCTTTCGATAGGTTTCAATTTCACGCGTACACTGCCGGGAAATTGCTACTTTTGACGACAATGTTAGTATATCCACAAATATATGTATATATGTTCGTATCAGATGTTCAGCAGTACAGATAGGAAACAAACAAATTAGTAGGAAATAGGAACTTTTATCATTTTCGATAGGTTTCAATTTCACGCGTACACTGCCGGGAAATTGCTGCTTTTGACGACAATGTTAGTATTTCCACAAATATATGTATATATGTTCGTATCAGATGTTCAGCAGTACAGATAGGAAACAAACAAATTAGCAGGAAATAGGAACTTTTATTATTTTCGATTTGTTCGTTTATCATTCCACATAAAGATAATTGTTCTATCATGTTTATGTCGCTTTCGCTCTGTAATGTTGCGAATATCACATACACAGCTGCTTGCTCATGATATGTTGATGATGTCATTTCTATTACCTCCCTTGGGCACACCAGAACCCTATGAATCCCGATTCGCCGTTTGTATTGCTTGGTTTCTGAGAACCGAGAGATAAACATCTGTGACTTGTATCACTTCGGGCTTTGCACCCACATCCAGATGACACGGTGTAGCATAGCTGGTGTGCTGTCCAAAGTGGCTTTAGTCCACTTTTGTATGGGCCCGTAAGGGCCCGGGTTAGAATTGGTCTTCGTCACCCGTAATGCTTGTCGTAAGAGGCGACTAACGGGACCGGGTCGTCAGGCTTGCTGACTTAGTTGACACATGTCATCGTATCCCAGTTGCATAGATCGATGCTCATGCTGTCGATCACTGTATTGTCTTACCCAGACTCGATTATTTACAGACCGCCGTCATATAGCTGGAATATTACTCAGTGGATGTAAAACTAAACGTCAAAATGTCAAATACACATAAATTCAATTGGCTTCAAACGCAACTCACTCACTCAGTTTTCCATCGTTGAGTCATTTGTCCATTGATGTCAAATGCACATTAATTCAATTGGTTTTAAACCCAACTCACTCATGCACTCTCTCACTCACGTTTGTATGGATAAGTCATTTGTCCATTGATGTCAAATGCACATTAATTCAATTGGCTTTAAACCAACTCACTCACTCACCCACGCACTTTTGTATCATGAGTCATTTGTCCATTGATGTCAAATGCACATTAATTCAGTTGCCTTAAACCCAACTCACTCACTCACTCTCTCACTCACTTTTGTATGGATAAGTCATTTGTCCATTGATGTCAAATGCACATTAATTCAATTGGCTTTAAACCCAACTCACTCACTCACTCACTTTTGTATGGATAAGACATTTGTCCATTGATGTCAAACGCACATTAATTCAATTGACTTTATATTTCTATACTGGCAAAAATGTATTTCGTTTATTAGGGTAAGGCGTGGAAATTCGCAGTGCCAGCTAGTAACGCGTACTGCTGCCACTATTCGAAGATCGTGGGTTCGAATCCCAGGTTAGTCCTGGTGACGTTTTTAAATTTTTAGCACTACATTCCTGATCATTTGTGTCACCAACTTTCTAACAGGTATTGATCTCCATTGATTCTCCGGCGACTAAACTTCTAATCAAAGCAGCGTTAAACCACAGGCAAATTGTAGCGCAAATAGGGTTGCGCAACAAAAAGAAAGTGACCATTCTACATACATGCGAGCGAAGCGAGCAAAGTTTGGCAACGTACTTCTCTCGCTTCGGTTCGAAAAATATTTTTAATATCAAAATAAAAATATCGCCACCATCAAAGGTAGACACCCATTACCTCACAGGGTTGTGCTCTCAGATTTCTAACCTCATATTTAATAACTACTCACGTATAATATATTTAAGGTTCAGGCTCATAACGCCGACCTTCCGACCAAACTTCACGGTTCAGTGGAAAAAAATATCGGCGTCCTGAGACTAGTTTCTTTTTGCCAATTAATAAAGGAGTACGACGACAATGAAGGATCAACGTCGCTCCAAGTCCCTGTATTTGTTGTTCTTGGACGGACGCTTCTGGCCAGCAGCGTACTGGACCAAATTGTTTTCCGTGTTCGTCTGTTCTCGTGACACGAACGGCACGATCTCGAAGATGTTTGGGTGAGCCTTGCCGACGTATCTCTTCAGACGTAAATGCCACCCTTCCAGGTGGTTGTTGGTTCTTATCCCATCTGAGTTGTGGTGGTTCCATATCGTTCCACTGCGATATGTTTACCTAGTACGACGAGTTCACCTTATCAAAACATCTAGAGTAGATTATCCGCAACCCTAATTACGCCTAATCAGAACCTAACCTTCAAAGGAAACCGCAGGTTGGCTTCCTGAGACTAGTGGAAAATCGAAAGGTCGGCGTCCTGAGACGACACCATATTTAATTCAACATTTTAAGCTCCACTCGTAGAATATCAAATCGTTCTTCGCCTCCATTACCCCTGCCAGCTTCCGGTTCAACGGAGTGAAGGAACAGGGGACTTAAATCTAAATAAACTTGTTGAATGACGTGTCCGTCATATGGAATACTTGCGGAGTTACCCCCCTTGCTTCATTCGCCCACTACGCCAGATGTATTTTTTGTAGACCAAATGTTACGAAAATTCCAGCAATAACGATGGAAGATAAGAAAAACAATCTCTAACAGGTTAATGGTAAAATTAGGCAATATGATATTTCTTTTTAATTTCTGCTTATTCTTGTTCCTTCACTCCGTTGACCCAGAAGCCGGCAGGGGTAATGGAGGCTAAGAACGATTTGACATGCCACGAGTGGCGCTTAAAATGTTGAATTAAAAATATTGTACGTGAGTAATTATTAAATATGAGGTTGGAAATCTGAGAGCTGAAATGGTGGCGATATTTTAATTTGATATTAAAAATATTTTTCGAACCGAAGCGAGGGACGTACGTTGCCAACCTTTGTTCGCTTCGCTCGCATATAGAAAGACTCGTCATTTTTCTTTCTGATGCGCAGTCGTATTTTGCGCTACAGTTTGCCTGTGGTTAAACACACTTCGCTTAAATATCGAGAATATACATCGGGGTGGTGTGGTAGATTAGAGGTAAATCGCCCTCATAACGCAGGATCCCAACAAGGAAACAATGTGTGGAACCCACTTTTATTGACATTACTAAAAGCACATAACTAAAAGCAGCGAAAAATTTATTCATTCACACACCGGCTTTGAGATCAAATTCCAATTTTGTAAGACAATATGAACTAGAAGTAAAATGTGTATTATGATATTACAAAAGGTCAGATTTATATATGTAATGATCCAGAAGAATTTCCGTCGCACCTGCTAAATTCCTTGCTGAGTTAATGTGATGTAATTAATGATGTGATGTGATATATACCTGATGTATTTCCGTTTTGATATAGCCACAGCGTGATTGAAAACCACTAACCCAAAAAGCCATGACCTCTGTCAAAATACCAGACGCTGGCGGAGACACTTTGACCTTTCTACAAATCCAAGGTCGTCTTTATCCATCCTTTCCCCCTGAAGCATTCATGAGCATGAACACGTTCAAGATGCGCCGTGATGACGTCATAGTGTGTGCTTACCCAAAGTCAGGTATGTCTCTTTTGAAGTAACTTTTGCTATCCGTGATAAATAAGTGATGAACTCTCACAGTTAGACTGGAAGGCGTGCCTAACCCGTAGGTTATCAAACTGGACGTGCTATCCGGCTGATGACGGTGAGCGAAAGTTTAAGGAACCGTTCATAATATATGGCTAGGGTTGGGTTGGGGTGATGATGATCTTTATGGAGGAGCATGTATAATGTATGACACACACACAACCCACCCCCATCCCCGCATGTTATGTACAAAACCATTGCCCCTCCCCCCCACCCCTAATTTTTAAGCGTAATTCGTTAGTATGACAATATTAATATGTACATTATTTATGACCCCCCCCTAGTACATGATTACACAATCCGAAACATGAGTCTCATTAACCTATCAGACAAAGACCTACTTTTCAGCCGATCCGAATTGTCTCGTGTGAAAGTGAAAATAGACATCACAAATAACTATGGTTACACTGAATTCCAATTTCTTGTTTCATATAAAAATGATATTTACAAATGAATTTTAATTTTAAGCTTTAATAACATCGTATTTCTATTTCTATATTTTATGGCGAGGTGTAGGCAGCATGACCTTAACTAAGACATCACAGACTGCCCCTGTTTGATGAGGTCGTAAAATGATTCACAGTGCATCTGGCTCACTGGTTACACCTGTTATGAGTTTTTTCTGCGCCTATTCATTGCAGTTCTGTACGGCATAATGTGATTGTTATAATATTAAGTCCGCACCAGACCGCCAAACGTTTCTAGCGGCAGAGCCTCGTTTTGAGATTTCCACGATTTCCAGGTTTCTGTTTGTCAGTGCTCGCTGTACGACAGAGCACGCTGCAAGACATGTTTGCAAGGATTAAAAGGAGCGTAGTGTTGCATTATACAAGTGATTAGATGTATTAAATAATACTGATTAATATTTATGTATTTAGTTACATGAATTTGACTCAAAATTCTGGACTGGCTATTGTACTAAGTTGCGTAATAGGACGGAACCCAGTCAACAGGAAACTAAACTGTTTGGTAATCAATGTTTTGACTTGAATTGATTATCCCCCCTTCCTCCGCAGAACATACTGATTGACACCCACCCCTAAAATCACACTCACATTCACACTCACACACACACACACACACGCACGCACGCAAGCACGCACACCGCACACCTAAACATGTCCTAAACACATCACATTCCTATTTTCGGTGACCGGTTGCAAACGGGGATTACACATTTGACGAGATGGCATCATTATAGGCCGCGTTTGTTTGTTAACGCAACACTCCAGAAATATTTCAGCTGTATGGTCTGTAAATATTCCAACCTGGACCAGGCAATCCAGTAACTGACGCCATGAGTATCGACCTATGTAGTTTGGATGCGATGACATGCATCAACCAAGTAAGTCCGAGCACCCGATTCCGTTACGAAAATTATGAATTCCTTAAGAAAATTTCTGACCCCGATCTTCACTATCCTCGGAAATCTCCAGGGTATACGTTCCGATAAATCTTCACTCGTACCTTGGATGCTTCTACGGCTTATCCAATCAGGTGTCCACGCTAGGAAGTTGAGCGTACCAATCACGAGGCTTCTATCATACAATTAAACTTTGCACCACAATTGTTGCAGAGGTACCCGGAAAGAGGTAGAAGGAGTTCTTGAATACATTTTTTGAAGGTTTCAGACCTGTCAATTTGTTTGTATGATTTCCGCCCTAAATCTGAGTCGCACAGCGAGCAAACCTTAGGAGCAAGCAAAGGGAGGTAATACAATTATCGGGCCGAGCCGTAGATGCATCTAGGATACTAGTGGAGATTTTATCGGAACGCATACCCTGGAGATTATCGAGGATGGATCGTCACTGGTGTTTCGTCCTTTAGGATCTCCTTTAAAGTTATAATCATGAGTTAAATACCGATTGACTTCCAAATAATGATACCTAGACGAAGATGTGGAGACGAATAATTCACCTGATTCTGCCTACGTGGTAGTGGTGAGAGGTACCTTAATATTGCACCATAATGCAAAACGCTGTTTCAGGTACTCACTGGGTTTGGGAGATTGTGCGCATGCTCCAGGCAGGAACGACGGAAGTGGAACCCGCTGAGAAGGATGACGGGATGATGGAACTATTTGATCAGGATCATTTCGACCAACTTCCCTCTCCTAGGGTTCTCAATTCGCACTTGTTGTTCACGCAGCTACCCCCGGAAGTCACTCAGAAGAAGAGCAAGTTAATATTTCTATCAAGAAACCCTAAGGATCTGTTCGTTTCTTACTACCATCACCATACGGGATTAGCGGACCTGTACAACTATAGTGGGAAATGGAAGAATTATCTCCCCTTAGTATTAGACGGAAGAGGTAATTATTCTATCCAACGTCTCACCCATTCTATAGTTAATGTATGAGTGAGTGAGTGAGTTTGGTTTTACGCAGCTTTTAGCAATATTCCAGCAATTTCACGGCAGGGGACACCAGAAATGGGCTTCACACATTGTACCATGTGGGGAATCGAACCCGGGTCTTCGGCATGACGGGCGAAAGCTTTAACCACTTGGCTACCCCACCGCCCCATATCTACAGGAATCGTAATGTTGATGTAATGCGTCCGAAATAACAAACGCTGCTACACACACGCGCACGCACGCACGCACGCACGCACACACACACGCACACACGCACGCACACGCGTAAGCTATGTAAGTGCTGTAATCTTAAACCTGACGTGAACCTCAGTTCATCTCATGGCCTTCAAAACGTGCTCTTCCTAAAGTGACAGACGTGCGTAACCGATATCTGTATCTGTTCTATACCAACAGTGGACTACGGGTCGTGGTTTGACTACATGCGTGAATGGGAGAAGGCGATACAGAACAACCCGGACGTCCCAGTTCTGTCTGTTATGTATGAAGACATTAAAGAGGTAGGGTCACCAACAAATTCAGAAGTACTATAGGTTGATTGTGAGTGGATGGTTTTAGTTTTACACTGCTTTTAGCAATATCCCAGCAATAGTACGACGGGGGACACCAGAAATTTGCTTCACACATTGTACCCATGTGGAGACAGAACCCGGATCTTCGGCGTGACGAGCGAACGCTTTAACCACTAGGCTACCCCACCACCCCGGTGGATTATGATTGAGGGAAGGGTCATTACGTGAGTTACAGTGTTGAAATTTTACATCGTGTCGGCAATATTGTTGAAAGAGGTTATTAGACGAGTTAGGTGGGTATCGCGATTTAGGTATAAAACAAACCAAATCAAATGAAAACAAATATTTTTGCAATAGGTTAGTAACTGTAAATTAAGCAATAGGCTGCATAGAACAGTTCAACCACTTTACTGGGGATCAATGGGTCTCAGGGAATACACTTTCAGTATCCCGGAAATATTCTTTAAACATGGGAAAATAAATTTGATCATATGTTTGGACAGAAACCGAAACCCCTCTTTATGTTTTGTGTTCCAAGGCAAAACCTTGAAGTCGTTTTTTTGTTATGTGATAACCGTTTATGTGTTGCAGGACCCGTACAAGGAGGTGCGGAAGATCTCCGACTTCCTGGGAAAGAACTATCCATCCGATTTCCTGCACAGGGTCTGTGACAGCTGCAGTTTCAGCAGGATGAGAGAACACAAAGGGCAGTACGACACCTCTCCCGACGGCCTGCCAGTAATGTACAGGAAAGGTTGGTTCTTTGCAACATCTGGAGACAATTTCTGCATCCCCAAAACAACTCATTGCTTGCAGAATCCCTGAAAACTAAAGTATGTAGACAAAGGTACTGCCTGTCTGTGTCACTTATCTTGGGGGTCTATTCTCAGATCATCTTCACCATTGAATCGTTGTCTGTTTAATTTCGCAAGGGTGGTACTATCTTCAACCTCGACAATTTTGACATTTCTCCCATGTCAAATCACATTCGTTGCTTTAACTCAAATATTACCAAGTATCAATTATTCAGTTTAAAATTGAGATGAGTGATGAAAGTCTGCCCATTTCACCTATGCTGCAAATTGTGTCATTGTGCATTGTCGCTGCGTGAACTGTCATGATGCAAGCACTGCTAATGCCAACAGTGGTCGCTGCATGCACTGCTAATGCCACCAGTGGTCGGTGCATGTACTGCTTATGCCACCCATGGTCGCTGCATGCACTGCTTATGCCACCAGTGGTCGCGGCAAGCACTGCTTATGCCACCAGTGGTCGCTGCATGCACTGCTTATGCCACCAGTGGTCGCTGCATGTAATGCTTATGCCACCAGTGGTCGCGGCAAGCACTGCTTATGCCACCAGTGGTCGGGGCCAGCACTGCTTATGCCACCAACGGTAGGGGAAAGCACTGCTTATGCCAGCAGTGGTCGCTGCATGTACTGCTTATGCCACTAGTGGTCGCGGCAAGCACTGCTTATGCCACCAGTGGTCGCTGCATGTACTGTCACGCTGTATGCACTGATTATGCCACCAGTGGTCGCGGCAAGCACTGTTTATGCCACCAGTGGTCGCGGGAAGCACTACTTATGCCACCAGTGGTCGCTGCATGCACTGTCACGCTGTATGCACTGCTAATGCCACCAGTGGTCGCTGCATGCACTGCTAATACCACCAGTGGTCGCTCCATGTACAGTTTATGTCACCAGTGGTCGCTGCATGTACTGCTTTTGCCACCAGTGGTCGCTGCATGTATTGCTAATGCCATCAGTGGTCGCTGCATGTACTGCTTATGCCACCAGTGGTCGGGGCCAGCACTGTTTATCCCACCAACGGTAGGGGAAAGCACTGCTTATGCGACCAGTGGTCGCGGCAAGCACTGCTTATGCCACCAGAGGTCGGGACCAGCACTGCTTATGCCACCAGTGGTCGCTGCATGTACTGTCACGCTGTATGCACTGCTAATGCCACCAGTGGTCGCTGCATGTACTGCTTATGCAACCACTAGTCGCTGCATGTACTGCTTATGCCAGCAGTGGTCGCTCCATGTACTGTTTATGCCACCAGCGGTCGCTGCATGTACTGCTAATGCCACCTGTGGTCGCGGTAAGCACTGCTTATGCCACCAGTGGTCGCTGCATGCACTGCTAATGCCACCAGTGGTCGCTGCATGTACTGTTTATGCCACCAGCGGTCGCTGCATCTACTGCTTATGCCACCAGTGTTAGGGACAAGCACTACTTATGCCACCAGTGGTCGGGGCCAGCACTGCTTATGCCACCAACGGTAGGGGAAAGCACTGCTTATGCCACCAGTGGTCGCGGCAAGCACTGCTTATGCCACCAGTGGTCGGGGCCAGCACTGCTTATGCCACCAGTGGTCGCTGCATGTACTGTCACGCTGTATGCACTGCTTATGCCACCAGTGTTAGGGACAAGCACTACTTATGCCACCAGTGGTCGGGGCCAGCACTGCTTATGCCACCAACGGTAGGGGAAAGCACTGCTTATGCCACCAATGGTCGCTGCATGTACTGCTTATGCCACTAGTGGTCGCGGCAAGCACTGCTTATGCCACCAGTGGTCGCTGCATGTACTGTCACGCTGTATGCACTGCTAATGCCACCAGTGGTCGCGGCAAGCACTGCTTATGCCACCAGTGGTCGCGGCAAGCACTGCTTTGCCACCAGTGGTCGCTGCAGGTACTGTCACGCTGTATGCACTGCTAATGCCAACAGTGGTCGCTGCATGCACTGCTAATGCCACCAGTGGTCGCTCCATGTACTGCTTATGCCACCAGTGGTCGCGGCAAGCACTGCTTATGCCACCAGTGGTCGCGGGAAGCACTACTTATGCCACCAGTGGTCGCTGCATGTCGCGCACATGCTGCTAATGCCACCAGTGGTCGCTGCATGCACTGCTAATACCACCAGTGGTCGCTCCATGTACTGTTTATGTCACCAGTGGTCGCTGCATGTACTGCTTTTGCCACCAGTGGTCGCTGCATGTATTGCTAATGCCATCAGTGGTCGCTGCATGTACTGCTTATGCCACCAGTGGTCGGGGCCAGCACTGCTTATCCCACCAACGGTAGGGGAAAGCACTGCTTATGCCACCAGTGGTCGCGGCAAGCACTGCTTATGCCACCAGTGGTCGGGACCAGCACTGCTGGTGGTCGCTGCCACCAGTGGTCGCTGCATGTACTGCTTATGCAACCAGTGGTCGCGTCGCTGCATGCACTGCTTATGCCACCAGTGGTCGCTCCATGTACTGCTTATGCCACCAGCGGTCGCTGCATGTACTGCTAATGCCACCTGTGGTCGCGGTAAGCACTGCTTATGCCACCAGTGGTCGCTGCATGCACTGCTAATGCCACCAGTGGTCGCTCCATGTACTGTTTATGCCACCAGCGGTCGCTGCATCTACCGCTTATGCCACCAGTGTTAGCCACACAAGCACTGCTTATGCCACCAGTGGTCGGGGCCAGCACTGCTTATGCCACCAACGGTAGGGGAAAGCACTGCTTATGCCACCAGTGGTCGCGGCAAGCACTGCTTATGCCACCAGTGGTCGGGGCCAGCACTGCTTATGCCACCAACGGTAGGGGAAAGCACTGCTTATGCCACCAATGGTCGCTGCATGTACTGCTTATGCCACTAGTGGTCGCGGCAAGCACTGCTTATGCCACCAGTGGTCGCTGCATGTACTGTCACGCTGTATGCACTGCTAATGCCACCAGTGGTCGCGGCAAGCACTGCTTATGCCACCAGTGGTCGCGGCAAGCACTGCTTTGCCACCAGTGGTCGCTGCAGGTACTGTCACGCTGTATGCACTGCTAATGCCAACAGTGGTCGCTGCATGCACTGCTAATGCCACCAGTGGTCGCTCCATGTACTGCTTATGCCACCAGTGGTCGCGGCAAGCACTGCTTATGCCACCAGTGGTCGCGGCAAGCACTGCTTATGCCACCAGTGGTCGCTGCATGTACTGCTAATGCCACCAGTGGTCGCTCCATGTACTGTTTATGCCACCAGTGGTCGCTGCATGTACTGCTTATGCCACCAGTGGTCGCTGCATGTACTGCTAATGCCACCAGTGGTCGCTGCATGTACTGCTTATGCCACCAGTGGTCGCTGCATGCACTGCTTATGCCACCAGTGGTCGCTGTACTGCTTATGCCACCAGTGGTCGCTTGCTTATGCGACCAGTGGTCGCGGCAAGCTGCTTATGCCACCAGTGGTCGCGGCATGCACTGCTTATGCCACCAGTGGTCGCTGCATGTACTGCTTATGCCACCAGTGGTCGCTGCATGTACTGCTTATGCCACCAGTGGTCGCTGCATGTACTGCTTATGCCACCAGTGGTCGCTGCATGTACTGCTAATGCCACCAGTGGTCGCGGTATGCACTGCTTATGCCACCAGTGGTCGCTGCATGCACTGCTAATGCCACCAGTGGTCGCTGCATGTACTGCTTATGCCACCAGTGGTCGCTGCATGTACTGCTTATGCCACCAGTGGTCGCTGCATGCACTACTTATGCCACCAGTGGTCGCGGGCCAGCACTGCTTATGCCACCAGTGGTCGCTGTAGGGGAAAGCACTGCTTATGCCACCAGTGGTCGCGGCAAGCACTGCTTATGCCACCAGTGGTCGCGGCCAGCACTGCTTATGCCACCAACGGTCGCGGAAAGCACTGCTTATGCCACCAGTGGTCGCTGCATGTACTGCTTATGCCACCAGTGGTCGCGGCATGCACTGCTTATGCCACCAGTGGTCGCTGCATGTACTGTCACCACCAGTGGTGTATGCACTGCTAATGCCACCAGTGGTCGCGGCAAGCACTGCTTATGCCACCAGTGGTCGCGGCAAGCACTGCTTTGCCACCAGTGGTCGCTGCAGGTACTGTCACGCTGTATGCACTGCTAATGCCAACAGTGGTCGCTGCATGCACTGCTAATGCCACCAGTGGTCGCTCCATGTACTGCTTATGCCACCAGTGGTCGCGGCAAGCACTGCTTATACCACCAGTGGTCGCGGGAAGCACTACTTATGCCACCAGTGGTCGCTGCATGCACTGCTAATACCACCAGTGGTCGCTCCATGTACAGTTTATGTCACCAGTGGTCGCTGCATGTACTGCTTTTGCCACCAGTGGTCGCTGCATGTATTGCTAATGCCATCAGTGGTCGCTGCATGTACTGCTTATGCCACCAGTGGTCGGGGCCAGCACTGTTTATCCCACCAACGGTAGGGGAAAGCACTGCTTATGCGACCAGTGGTCGCGGCAAGCACTGCTTATGCCACCAGAGGTCGGGACCAGCACTGCTTATGCCACCAGTGGTCGCTGCATGTAGTGCTTATGCAACCACTAGTCGCTGCATGTACTGCTTATGCCAGCAGTGGTCGCTCCATGTACTGTTTATGCCACCAGCGGTCGCTGCATGTACTGCTAATGCCACCTGTGGTCGCGGTAAGCACTGCTTATGCCACCAGTGGTCGCTGCATGCACTGCTAATGCCACCAGTGGTCGCTCCATGTACTGTTTATGCCACCAGCGGTCGCTGCATCTACTGCTTATGCCACCAGTGTTAGGGACAAGCACTACTTATGCCACCAGTGGTCGGGGCCAGCACTGCTTACTCCACCAACGGTAGGGGAAAGCACTGCTTATGCCACAAGTGGTCGCGGCAAGCACTGCTTATGCCACCAGTGGTCGGGGCCAGCACTGCTTATGCCACCAACGGTAGGGGAAAGCACTGCTTATGCCACCAGTGGTCGCTGCATGTACTGCTTATGCCACTAGTGGTCGCGGCAAGCACTGCTTATGCCACCAGTGGTCGCTGCACGCTGTATGCACTGCTAATGCCACCAGTGGTCGCTGCATGCACTGCTTATGCCACCAGTGGTCGCGGCAAGCACTGCTTATGCCACCAGTGGTCGCGGCAAGCACTGCTTTGCCACCAGTGGTCGCTGCAGGTACTGTCACGCTGTATGCACTGCTAATGCCAACAGTGGTCGCTGCATGCACTGCTAATGCCACCAGTGGTCGCTCCATGTACTGCTTATGCCACCAGTGGTCGCGGCAAGCACTGCTTATGCCACCAGTGGTCGCGGGAAGCACTACTTATTCCACCAGTAGTCGCTGCATGCACTGTCACGCTGTATGCACTGCTAATGCAACCAGTGGTCGCTGCATGTACTGCTAATGCCACCAGTGGTCGGTGCATGTACTGCTTATGCCACAAGCGGTCGCTGCATGTACTGCTTATGCCACCAGTGGTCGCTGCATGTACTGCTAATGCCACCAGTGGTCGCTGCATGTACTGCTTATGCCACCAGTGGTCGGGGCCAGCACTGCTTATGCCACCAACGGTAGGGGAAAGCACTGCTTATGCCACCAGTGGTCGCGGCATGCACTGCTTATGCCACTAGTGGTCGCGGCAAGCACTGCTTATGCCACCAGTGGTCGCTGCAGGTACTGTCACGCTGTATCCACTGCTAATGCCACCAGTGGTCGATGCATGTACTGCTTATGCAACCACTGGTCGCTGCATGTACTGCTTATGCAACCAGTGGTCGGTGCTTGTACTGCTTATGGCACAAGCGGTCGCTGCATGTACTGCTTATGCCACCAGTAGTCGCTGCATGCACTGCTTATGCCACCTGTGGTCGCGGTAAGCACTGCTTATGCCACCAGTGGTCGCTGCATGCACTGCTAATGCCACCAGTGGTCGCTCCATGTACTGTTTATACCACCAGCGGTCGCTGCATCTACTGCTTATGCCACCAGTGTTAGGGACAAGCACTACTTATGCCACCAGTGGTCGGGGCCAGCACTGCTTACTCCACCAACGGTAGGGGAAAGCAGTGCTTATGCCACCAGTGGTCGCGGCAAGCACTGCTTATGCCACCAGTGGTCGGGGCCAGCACTGCTTATGCCACCAACGGTAGGGGTAAGCACTGCCTATGCCATCAGTGATCGCAGCATGTACTGCTTATGCCACTAGTGGTCGCGGCAAGCACTGCCTATGCCACCAGTAGTCGCTGCATGTGCTGTCACGCTGTATGCACTCCTTGTGCCACCAGTGGTCGCGGCAAGCACTCCTTATGCCACCAGTTGTCGCGGGAAGCACTACTTATGCCACCAGTGGTCGCTGCATGCACTGTCACGCTGTATGCACTGCTAATGCCACCAGTGGTCGCTGCATGCACTGCTAATACCACCTGTGGTCGCTCCATGTACTGTTTATGTCACCAGTGGTCGCTGCATGTACTGCTTATGCCACCAGTGGTCGCTGCATGTACTGCTAATGCCACCAGTGGTCGCTGCATTTACTGCTCACTCCACCAGTGGTCGGGGCCAGCACTGTTTATGCCACCAACGGTAGGGGAAAGCACTGCTTATGCCACCAGTGGTCGTGGCAAGCACTGCTTATGCCACCAGTGGTCGGGGCCAGCACTGCTTATGCCACCAACGGTAGGGGAAAGCACTGCTTATGCCACCAGTGGTCGCTGCATGCACTGCTTATGCAACCAGAGGTCGCTGCATGTACTGCTTATGCCACCAATGCTCGCTGCATGTACTGCTTATGCCACCACTGGTCGCTGCATGTACTGCGTATTCCACCAGTGGTCGCTCCATGTACTGCTAATGCCACCAGTGGTCGCTCCATGTACTGCTTATGCCAACAGTGGTCGCTGCATGTACTGCTCATGCCACCAGTGGTCGTCCTTGCATGCACTGCTAATGCCAGCAGTGGTCGCTGCATGCACTGCTAATCCTGCCAGTGGTCACTGGATGTCTTGCTACGCTTTATGCACTGCTTATGCCATCAGTAGTCGCTGCATGCATTGCAAACTTCCAAAACCAATGTACTGATGTACTTTGAACTAAGACAATGGCTGCAGCATATCCACAATGTGGCTGAAATACTGCCACTACCCTTTTTACATTGAGGCCTACCGACATACTTTCATGACTATGGAAACGAATGCGCAGGTGGCCTGTGTCATGGATTCGACCTTTGTTCTAGTTGTAATTAATAACATGTACTGCTAATGCCACCAGTGGTCGCGGCATGTACTGCTAATGCCACCAGTTGTCGCTGCTATACTGCATATGCCAACAGCGGTCGCGGCATGTACTGCGTATGCCACCAGTGGTCGCTGCATGTACTGTTTATGCCAACTGTGGTCGCGGCATGTACTGCTAATGCCACCAGTGGTCGCGGCATGTTCTGCTAATGCCACCAGTGGTCGCTACATGTACTGCTAATGCCACCAGTGGTCGCGGCATGTACTGCTTATGCCAACAGTGGTAGCGGCATGTACTGCTTATGCCAATAGTGGTAGCGGCATGTACTGCTAATGCCACCAGTGGTCGCTGCATGTACTGCTTATGCCAACAGTGGTCTCGGCATGTACTGCTAATGCCACCAGTGGTCGCTGCATGTACTGCTTATGCCAACAGTGGTCGCTGCATGTACTGCTAATGCCACCAGTGGTCGCGGCATGTACTGCTAATGCCACCAGTGGTCGCTGCATGTACTGCTTATACCACCAGTGGTCGCTGCATGTACTACTTATGCCAACAGTTGTCGTGGCATGTACTGCTAATGCCACCAGTGGTCGCGGCATGTACTGCTAATGCCAATAGTGGTCGCTGCCTGTACTGCTAATGCCACCAGTTGTCGCGGCATGTACTGCTTATGCCACCAGTGGTCGCGGCATGTACTGCTTATGCCAACAGTGGTCGCGGCATGTACTGCTAATGCCACCAGTGGTCGCTGCATGTACTGCGTATGCCAACAGTGGTCGCGGCATGTACTGCTTATGCCACCAGTGGCCGCTGCATGTACTGCTTATGCCACCAGTGGTCGCTGCATGTACTGCTTATGCCACCAGTGGCCGCTGCAAGCACCTCTTATGCCACCAGTGGCCGCTGCATGTACTGCTTATGCCACCAGTGGTCGCTGCATGTTCTGCTTATGCCACCAGTGGTAGAGGCAAGCACTGCTTATGCCACCAGTGGTCGCTGCATGTACTACTTATGCAACCAGTGGCCGCTGCATGTACTGCTTATGCAACCAGTGGTCGCTGCATGTACTGCTTATGCCACCACTGGTACAGGCAAGCACTGCTTATTCCACCAGTGGTCGCGGCAAGCACTGCTTTGCCACCAGTGATCGCTGCATGTACTGCTTATGCCACCAGTGGTCGCTGCATGTACTGCTCATGCCACCAGTGGTCGTCCTTGCATGCACTGCTAATGCCAGCAGTGGTCGCTGCATGCACTGCTAATCCTGCCAGTGGTCACTGGATGTCTTGCTACGCTTTATGCACTGCTTATGCCATCAGTAGTCGCTGCATGCATTGCAAACTTCCAAAACCAATGTACTGATGTACTTTGAACTAAGACAATGGCTGCAGCATATCCACAATGTGGCTGAAATACTGCCACTACCCTTTTTACATTGAGGCCTACCGACATACTTTCATGACTATGGAAACGAATGCGCAGGTGGCCTGTGTCATGGATTCGACCTTTGTTCTAGTTGTAATTAATAACATGCGTATGGGCAACCTTGCCAAACATGAAATGACTACCAGCCTTTGGTGAAACAAATGGTCACGAATCTCAAAACAACGTTTACTGTACAAAACACGACACATTAAGCTTTTCAGCTACACTCCCTCTATATCTATTCATATATGAAACGCAAAAGGTTATGGCCAAACGGAATAATAGATTGACATCTAGGCAAAGATTGCTGACAGCTGATGTGAAATATAGTAATAACGGATACTCGGGATAGGTTTACGATCACAAGTAAACTGATTTGTAACATTCGAATTGTATTTATATCAATGTCAAGGTTATTGCTAGACTTATACCGTTTGAATGCGCGCAGTTCAAGTTACTGCTGGTCTTTCACTGTATTGAAGGTCAAGGTTAGTTTAAGGCAAGGTTTATGTCATTTGAATGCATGTTGGTCAGGTCACAGATGATCTTTCGTTGTATTGTAGGTCAAGGTTATTTTAAGGTCAGATGTATGTCTTTAAAAGGCACACATGTCAAGTTACTGCTGTTGTTTCATTATATTCAAGGTCAAGGTTATTCTTAGGTCATATATATATACTTGTGTCATTTCAGGTCAGGTCGGTGACTGGAAGAATTGGTTCACCGTGTCAATGAGTGAGTGGTTTGACAGGGTGTACGTCGACAAGATGGAGGGATCAAAACTCAAGTTCAGATATACGCTGGAAGACTAAAACACACAGAGCAGCAAAGTCTTATCACAGCAATAGGCACAGGCGTAAATAAGCCTCATATAAATTTCATGAGATCATCGTTGCTATAGATCGCTCGTGTTACTCGTTTGGTACATATTGATAGTAAACTAGTCTAAACTTTTACACAAATCAACAGGTGTTTTTTCTGCAAAAATGTCATCAAATGTTAAATCGATATTGAGTGTGACCACCATTGGCTTCAATACACGCCAAAGCACAAAACAGTCGTTTTGTATTTTATGCAATGTTTAGGCGATTCGTTAACTTGTTTCGCCGTTTGTTCCCGGAAAGGATGCGTCTGTATTAGGGATGCAACGATACATCGATACAATTATCGATACATTCAAAACTGTATCGATATTTAGTTTTGAAAGTATCGGTTTAGATATGTTTATGTATCGTTTACATTTTGCAATTGTATCATGTTTTTGATCTTATGAGAGTTATAAATGATTATTTTTCACTCTGAGAATAAAAAATGTTGATCTATAAAATATGAAATATTAATGCTCAAAATGTAACTAAATTTACGCAATAATGCCGCGAAAGTAGGTATCGTGATACGTATCGAATCGTGACATGGGTATCGTGATACGTATCGATTCATGAAACTTATGTATCATGACATCCCTAGTCTGTATGTATGCGACATGGCTCAGTATATTTTATCACTTCATTTTTGCTTTCTGACTTTTAATGTAATATTTTGCTGTGTATAGTATCGCTTGAGCACTATTTTAGTATGGATAGTATTAATTCATGGAATATTAAAGTTATGAACAATTACTCTACCTGTCTGATAGATGGATAGCCGGAAAAGTAAAGTAGAAACGAGATATGCACTCAAATGGACGTAGTCATGCCACAGTTTACAAAACGCTCCACTTGGAAGTATACTCACTGTTGTCAAAAAGTCCGGCTGAAAAATCACCAACCTTCGCACGCAGCAAATAAATAAAGGGGCGGTGGGGTAGCCTAGTGGTTAAAGCGTTCGCTCGTCACGCCGAAGACCCGAGTTTGATTCCCCACATGGGTACAATGAGCTTGTATGGTACACGGGACACTGCCTATTAGAACACAGCTCGCTAGAGTGACTAGTTAGTATCACATTGTGTTGGCCTATACGTCTAGTGTGTGTCACCCCACTCTCAGCTTACAGATCGATTGAAGTCAGTTGGAGATCAAAATATAAAAGATCATTACACTATATTGATAACTATTATTAAAGACGAACTTCAGGCGGCTTCATGTCAAACTTGACAGATGTTCACGAACAACGGATGATGATTCTAGTTATAAGAAACGAGCTTGTATATCATAGATCATTCGGTCAGTTGCAGAGATGAATCGAAAATATACAAGGTAGTGTGCCTTTAATGCGTACTTCTAAACAGTGTTTGTCAGGCACAAATGCATATTATAAACATCCGAAATTCCTTGCACGTACGTACTGACGGCAATTCACATGTGATAAACAGCAATGTACACGCAATGAAGCAAATTCATTAAATATGGATAAAAATGAGGATCTTCACTACAGAATGCACGTCAGAAACAATCTGGCGGTGGTGGGGTTAGCCTAGTGGTTAAAGCGTTCGCTCGTCACGCCGAGGATCCGGGTTCGATTCTCCACGTGGGTACAATGTGTGAAGCCCATTTCTGGTATCCCCACTGTGATATTGCTGGACTTTTGCTAAAAGCTGCGTAAACCCATACTCACTCACTCAGTCTGACAAATCTCTCGAGTTAGAATTGACGTTAAGAAACTCGTGCTTGTCGTAAGACGCGTGTAGCGGGATCGCACCAGCCAAGTCAGGCTCAACAAGCTGATTGATATATTTAAGTTTACTTCACGAATAGAGGCTATAAGGCAGGAAGTGTTTTATTGTGACACTGAGGCTCGCTGGTCGATGCACGTCATCGTATTGTCATGCTCCTAAAGTCTCCATAATTAATACATGATTATTGTGGTCATACTTTAATATTTTTAACCCCCAAAACAAACAAAAAACAACAACAACAGCAAAACAAACCACAAGCTGTCACTGCTTGAGTTATGCCTCAGGCTGTAAACTGCTGTTCATGCATATGGTCGGGCGTTAACAGATTACGTCAGATATGTAAAGTGATAACAATGGTATTAAGTTGCCGAGTGCACTCCATAAAACATGTATACATGAAATTGATGCACCAGACATTTGATACAATTAGGTTACTATTTAACTTCAACAGAAGGCCTGAATCTCTATATATATGGAGTCCAAATACAGATCCTTCACTCTGTCACGCATACAGACTTAAAGGGGCTCAGCAGCCCTTTCTCTGTTTTAACTGAGTGAGTGAGTTTAGTTTTACGCCACACTCAGCAATATTCCAGCTATATGGCGGCGGTCTGTACATAATCGAGTCTGGACCAGACAATCCACTGATCAACAGCATGAGCATCGATCTGCGCAATTGGGAAACGATCCTATGTGTCAACCAAGTCAGCGTGCCTGACCTCCCGATCCCGTTAGTCGCCTCTTACGACAAGCATGGGTTACTGAAGGCCAATATTCCAACCCGGAACTTCACGGGTCATCTCTGTTTTAAGGTGACAGCCGAGTAGTCAGCTCTACCAAGTTAACCCACCCTACTATCTTATCGTTGTGACGGCACAGGTATGACCACGATCAAACCTGTAAATACGTTCCCCAAGCTACGTCAGTATCTTAATTACGTACACCGATGCTCGTGTTATCAATCACTGGATTGTTTGGTCCAGACTATACTATTGCTGGGATATTGCTGAGCACGGCGTTACACAACAAACACAAATGACAAAGTAACGTATCGTCGCTATCTTGCATCCATTAATGGATCTCGTCAACAGGTGTTTCACTGGGAATTTCACACTACCCAGTTAATTATCACTGATCACATTATGATATAGATAATTCATCAGTGTTTTTGATATGGGAAATATCAACCGAGAATATTTCACAGGTAACAATCTCACAAAGCACCGCTAGCACAGACTCCGCACGACTCGTCGTTTTTAAATTGTACGTTACCTAGTTTGGTGACCTCGTCCAAAGACCCTACTTCCAGTGAATCAAGATTTGACGGACGTCATACACAGGCAAGTGAATAAGCAATGTTTAAATTATTTTGCGATGTAAATAGATTTTTCATTGTTTCACCTCAGTTTCTCATTGAAGTTATGACTCTACATGAGCACGGTGTGACATCGTAGACAACTGAATCAACTGACCTGGTGTGCATGCTATTGCGTCTCCATTTGTAATTTGCACTCTGGGGCATTTGCTGTTTGTTGAAATGTCCGGACTAGAATTTGTCTTCACAACCCTTCGTCACGATATGGCTGAGATATTGCCGATGTGACGTTAAATATTAACTCACTCACTCACTCTTCACAATCCATGCTTGTATGAGGCGATTAACGTTGGTGGTCAGGCTCACTGACCTGGTTGACACATGTCATCGTATCTCAACTGCGCAGGTCGATGTTGATCACTTGATTGCATGGTCCAAACTCGTACATTTACAAACCGCCGCCCGTATAGCTATATTATTGCTGATAGCGGCGTTGAACACTAAACAAACAAGCAGTGGAGAAAGACACACTTTGCTAACAACTACATTCAACGTTTCACAACCCATGTCCTATTTACGTCATGCCAGAAACGTTATAGCTGAAATTTGGAAAAAAATATCAGTATATGAGACGCCTGTTGTGATAAAAGGGATGCTATCGGATATCACTATAGTCACGTTTTTATTGATGAGACGACAAATGCACTGTCAATTCTTCTACCGGCTCGGGTGACACTGCTACAAAGAGACGTACACCAGACCGTATTACCCGAGGGAGAAGCATACAACGTATTTATCTTACCGCCATATTAAATGTACAAAATATCATTTTATTTTATGTTAAAGATCGCTACCGACTATATGACATGCAAACAAAATGGCGTCTGCCTCTCGACTGGATTTTTAACATCAGTGAAACATATTCTGACAAGCATAAAACTGCTATAAAAATTATTAATTAAGTTTAAGCTGAGTGTGCAAACCACTCAATGTATAAAATATCTTAAATAAAGTAGTGAAAGTCGGTAAAATAAATCTGTACAAACTGAACACAAAACAAATACGATTGTTAGCTCTTCAGCTTCTCGGCGGAGAGCTTGGTGGTTACCGTGGCAGTGGGTAATATTTTTCCCAGTTGTCACCCTCCTGGGTGGATGACACGGAAACTTGTTAAACCGTCATTCACCAATGAAATTACAGTATTTTACATGAAGGTAAGATAAAACGCCTAAACCACCAAGCTACCCCGCGGGCCCCACATAATACATGTTACGCCATTGGTAGGTGGGAGAATGATTGCTACCGCACCACATTAAACGTTACAGAATGTACACATGGAAATCAGGTTGTGGTCTGTTTTTCGTATATATATGTCTGAAAGACCCTGTTATAAACAACTATAAACTATCCGAGACTACCCACCGCCTCTATGAAAAGGCGGTGTATTTTCAGACCACACGCTATCCTATACTTGTATATAGTTGCAGAGGTCTGAATCGACATGCGACCTCATAACACAATTCTATACCATGACACGTGTATGAATCCAAGGACGAGCCCGAACTGAGGCGATTTCAGCCAATCAGAAGGCCTGTCACGCTTTGTGGATTTGCCAGTCGGGTACATCTGAGGTCAAACGATACCCCTGAAGTGATGTGGCTACGAATTATCCCATTCTCACTCGCAATATCCATTACCTAATGTTAGGATTTAATGTGCTCCTCTAACGAAACCCATATGGTCGGGAAAAACATTTAATGGTGCGGTCCCAGTACCGACCTCACGCTACTCGACCTTCTCGACCTGAAGGTAGAGTTGGGGGTCGAGTTGGTCGAGTTTAAGAACGAGTTAGGTCGAGTCAGGTCGAGTCAGATCGAATCAGGTCTACCAAGTTTTTGAAAGTTTTTTGACATGTCAAAAATTTTCCCCGACTTCCTCATCGACCTTCGGTCCGAGATGGGGTCGAGACCAGGTCGAGAATAGGTCGAGGTAGGTCGAAGAAAGGTCGAGTTTAGGTCGACATTAGTTCCAGTTGGTCGAGTTGAAGGTCGAGCTGGCCTGACATGCCGATCTGTGTTCGTCTTAGAGTCGATCTGTACTCGACCTCGACTCGACCTCGACTCGACCTTGAGTCGACCAACTCGAACTGGACTCGATTTGGACTCAACCTGGAGTCGACCGACTCGACCTGAAGTCAACCTATCTCGACCTCAACTCGACCTAATCGAGTCCGCGTCGACCGCATAAATGGTAACCATCTTCCCAAATGCTTCATAAAAGCCAAACGGCAGCCAGTGGTAGCACATCATCTCCACACCAACCTGCTGCCACCCAGAGGTCCACCATGCGCACACCACCCTCTCCAACACGTCGCAAAGCAGCGAATCAGGCTGGTATCTTCCACAACTTTGACTCCAGTGCTGCAGCAGGTACATCTCTGTACCTGCCAAGCGGTCTCTTGGACCCTACACACACCTCAGAGGATCAGTCACATGTTCAGGACTCTCAGCAAGGACAGTGAAACTGAGAAGTAGAACTTGATACTCATATATTGTCATGAGCACTTTATACTGATGTGAAATGTTACCTTCAGATTATTTAAATGAGTTTCCAATACAAGATTTAAAAGCTTTTTTATCTGATATTTGTTTTGTGTTTTCCATCCATTGCTAAGTGTAAATGTAAATACATCTTGTACGATTGTAATAAAGTTTATTTTGTTCTTCATGTATGTAGTTAGTTTTCATTGTGGTTTTTTCGCATTTACCAATTGTAAATAGTGTAAAAAAAAAAGAGTTCCTTTGTAAAATGAAGTAGTCCTAAATAATAGAGTACACTTTAAAGTCATTTGGATATCATCTTCTCTTGCCAATGAACAGCTCCTGGGCCCATGAAGTAGTCCTTCAAATAGTTTCTTTAGTTGGCGCCATCTAATGGGGTAACGTTCCTCGCACCCCGGTTATCCCCATCAAGCAGCTGTGTGCAGGAGCGCCACTCGCCTGGGCTGAGTGAACAGTCCCCATTCCCCTGTCTATGAGGTTCATCTGAATGTTCCAGTTCCTCGTTCTCAGCATGTTGTGTAAAGTGACTCAGGCCTGGGTTATCTGTTTAGCTCTGTCTGTAGTGCTTTTTAGGGAGCCGAAGAAGATCTGGAAGCTCATAGCCAGAATCCCGAAGGTATTCTCCACCACTCGTCTGGCCCGAGACAGCCTGCAAATGTCACAAATTTAACATTTTTAAGTCAAATGCATTCAAAATTCAAAACCTTTGATATAATATTGCATACACCCAAAGATACTAAGTTATAATTTGATTTAGGTATTTATGGAAAAGAATAATTACCTGCAGTTGAAGATCTGCTGATCGGGGTCCATCTGACGCATGGAAAAGGACTTCATCATCCAGGGGCGGAGTGGAAAGGCATCGTCTCCGATGATGAAGTATGGCACACCATACGGGGAATACAAGGTCATCGCCCTCCATCCGATCTCGTGAATGGTTGAAGACCATCAGCGTCTGATGCTGATCCCTTGGCCCCGACGTTGACCCACGGGAACTTGTAGTCGGCGTCCGCGAGTGCCAGCAAGACGATAGAGAAGAAGTTCTTGTAGTGGTAGAAGAGGGACCCGCTTTTGGGAGGCTTCATGATGCGTATGTTCTTGCCATCAAACGCACCGGTGCAATATGGAAATTGCCACCTTTCCTTGAAAGCACGGGCTACAGTATTCCATCTACTCTGATCCCACTCATCTGACCGATACTACGCTTTGAAGGCGTCAAGGATAGGATTGATGTGCTTACGGCTGAAGCTTTGGCTGTGGAGTAGGGTTGGCATTCTCCAGGTCATCCACCAGTTCAAGCAGGTGCCAGGCTATCTGCACCCAAATGGTAAGCAGTCTTCGCTTCTCGGGGCTCACCAGGTTTACGTCAAGGTTTCTGATGGTGATGTTACTACTTTGCAGTCCTCTAATTGAATGGGTACCTGGTGAAAATGCACCCTGTAATTTGTACAATTTGGAAACCAAGGGTCTACTCGGCAGAAAAATGGAATTTCCGTCGAGAACCAGTCGCTACGGTTGAACACAGGTCGCGGTGAGGTCGGGCCGGTAAACTTAGGACGAAATTAATTCGAAATTAGGTCGATATAGAGGTCTAGCTTGTCGAGTATAGGTCTTCTGACCTAAGTCGAGATAGGTCGACTGAAGTCGAACTAAAATCGTACTAAGGTCGTAAAGGTCCCTACGAGGTCGTTATGAGGTCGTTTTGAGGTCGTTGTGGGGTCGAGATACCCCCCAGGTCGAGACCGGTCGAGTAGTTTGCGAGGTCGAGTCGGTCGAGCTCCCGAGGTCGCCACTGGGACCGCACCATTAGGCAGATCAAGGAACGCGATCCAAGGCCTCACGACCAGTTTAATGTTGGCGCCATCTTTCACGAAACCAGCGTCTACTCGAAGGTGAGACTTTGTAAAAAGTTCCACATTTTGCTCATATGCATATTTGTTACTAGATAACAACAAATAGCAAGTTAAGAATTTGTATGTTTTATAAACACTGACAATACTTGTTACTACAGTACTATATTGCTAAACGCATATTGTCACTAGCGACCGTTCATAATTTATGGAGGGGGGCGGGAGGGTGGTGTTGGTGATGATGATTTCAAGGGGGTGGGGTCACCTGTATTGTTCTGGGGAGGTCGGGGGTCATCAAGTTTGTACACATGTACTGGGGGGAGTCATTTTAGGTGGGTAATTTACATTGTACATGCTTCTCTGTAAACATTATTATCACCCCCACACCCTGCCCCACCCCCTAGCCATCGGTCATTGAGCAAGTAGGTCATAATGCGAGACAGGCGAGAGAGACGTGATCACAACAATGTAATCAAGTCTGACAGCGATCTGATTTCGGTTAGGGTAAATTCGAAACAGCACAGTTATTCAATTCAAGTACAATGTGGTGGAAATTATTGACTTATCTCTAAGATACTCTGAATTTTGTCAGATGTTTGGATTTGTTTGTAAGT